TTATAAACTAGGTAGTAAATGTAATACAATTTATCCAAAAATATATAAACAAAAACTATTGTTTGTGCCTTTGACAACATTTATCAAGCTTTTGTATTTCAAAAATGTTATCCAAATTATATAGAATTATCTGAGAATATGTTTAATTAATTATTTATTTTTAGTTTTCATATCTTATGAAGAAATGTTTGTTATTAAAATAAACATAAAATCGGAAAAGTCACTATATGATGTATAAATGGAGTCGATATGTCAAGTGTATCTTATCGTCATTGATTAGTTATTTTTAATGAACGTGTTAAGTTTAAAATTTAAAATTTAACGATAAATGATAAATCAGTGCATACGAAAAACGATTCTGGATGGAGGTCTGACATTATTTCTAAGGATATTTTATTATATATTTATACTTTGTTACCTTATAATTTATTTTTATTTTAGTGATACATTCGTATAGGTTGRTTGAATTAATTTTCATTGATAAAAAATTGAATATTATCATAATATTATTTCATAAAATCATAAATGTAATATAATTATAATTTACATTATAATTTTATATAGGTACCTATTAAACGTTATGAATATAATATTTAAAAAACACTGTGTCACTGTAGAAGACTAAAACGGTATGATCTATGAATAGGTTTGTGGTATAAATAGATCAAAATATTTTGAAAATTGCATTGTGTAAATATACTCGTAGTAAATAATGATATAAGTAGGTATATAGTATCGAAAAGTTTGAAGTCCCTGCGAATAATAGGTATTTTATGAATATTTAGTTTTATCGAATTTTTAACTTGAAATGTTTATTAAAAATGACTGTGCCCATGGATTTTAAATAATGATAAATATAATGTTAGTATTTTAATCAGTTTGGTAAAATGCTAATTTATTGGTTAGAAATGCATATAGAAGGTAGAATACTAGAATAATTTTAGTATTGTTCTAAAATCTACCGACTACTATATTATGCGTCTATGCACCAGCAGCGCCGAAATATTTATAATATACACTATGGCATCGTACTTCAAGGGGCCCTCCTTCACTACCCTTTACTTTAATTTAATCACCAGATACAAGCTAAAACATCTAAATGATCAATCATTTTTTTTTTACATTTTAATGTAAATTCTGGATCCACAGCGGGAGCTCTGCAGTGCTCTACAGTAAGCCTCTTCTCTATATAAGAAACTACTATGGCATATTATATCATATTATCATATATTTATATAAATAAGTGATCAGCGCTAAGTACTAGRTATATGCTACACAGTAGTTAGTACAAACTAATTAGTTGATCATATAATTATATTATAGTTAAAAAATACTGCATGTCTATTGTACAGTATAGGTTCTATTATAGAACTGCTGAAATACAAAGGGTATGCGTATGACGCGTGGTAAACTAAAATTTCTAAGACTAAACTATTATAGTTCTTAACTTCTTTCTAAAATATAGAAACTAGGTAAAATAGTAGGTAATGTTAGAAAATGGTAATATATCTAACTGCACATAGAAAAATAAACTTGGGTGAATATTATAAATATTATAAATATCCACAAGAGTATATCGTTAATCATAGGCGAGCGTAGACCTAATTGGCAGKGTGGGCTAAACCAATTATGATAATATAGATTAATATAGATACCTATTACTTAAAGAGATAAATTAGAGATATTTTATCATTGCAATTTTTTCAATTATTGTTCAACGTATTTAATTAACTATTATCATTGGCGATTGTAATTTGTAATTTTATTATTAAAGTTTCGTGATAACAATTTATCAGGTCGCAATAATATGTAGGTACCTACAACCACAGAACAATAATTAGTACTAATACAACAATAATTAGTACAGTACGATTCACAGGATGGCCCACCTGGCCCACCCCGTGCGCACGGGCTACACGGCTATATCGTTATAGTAAATAAGTAAATAATTATAATATTTCACTCATTAAATACCTACCACCCATATTATAATATTAAATTATTAAATGTAATATTAGTACGAACAACTGACACTCTACATGGTAGCGCTACTAGGTACGTTTCCATTTTAGAAACTTCACGAGTCACCTAATCACACCACGATGTTCATATTGTTCCGTGCAGACCGTGACAGTGTGACACAGATATAGATATTATCTGTGTTCTGTGATTAGAAAAATTCTTTATTATCTACGGTGATTATAGATAATAGATAATATTATCTATTATAGATAATAGATTATCTATAATCATAAAGTGTTATCAGAGTAAATTATAAACATAAACAACTTTATCAAAGCAAATTGTTGGTAGTTGAAAATAGTCAGAAGAAAAAATTACTAATTAGCAATTGAATTGTTTTCCTTAAACCTTTACCAAATAACATTATTTGTTATAAATCGTACGGCATAGAATGACGAATCATATTCGTTTAAACGTTTGCATCACAATGGAAAGTGGTTAATGATAAATGTTGTACCTTTTGTTATACTTATTGGCTTGAAGCTGCATAGAACACTGTCTACCCAGTAAACACTGGACAATGTCAGATTGAAGACGATGGTTAATCAGTCTCAAGTGTTTGCTGAAAATCATTGAACATGACAAGGCTGACCATGTTTAGATCGATATCTTTTAGTAAGTTACGCGAAAAGCTTGCTAAACTATCCAACAGTGTGTCAGAAAATCGCAACCACATCCGTTTATTTGCCGAGTCAATTGCCTATTGTGTGGTAACCGGCAGTCTGGGATGGCTGGCATACGAGTTTCATGAGACTGTATTGACCATTGAACATTGTATTCAAAAAGATCCAATGCTGTTGAACTACAAAGCACCAGAATATGTATTTGTCGACAAAGCCACATTCACTGGTAAACTTTGTGTACTTTATACCATTTTTGTTTTACTGCTGCAGACTACAGTAGATACCATATATTGTCAGGTGACCTTTCTGGTGTTAATATTCTTTTATTTCTATTTTTATGATTTTTAGTTAAGAATTAGGTATAAAATACAATTCTATCTATGGAGTTATGTAGAACATTTATATAATATTTTAGAATTTCTGTCAGTTCACATTCGCAAAAAACCCTTGCATTATGTTAAATAACGTCAGAGGCAAACTGGGGGGTAAATAGGTTTATCCAGCCGCTTAAATAAATTGATAACATTGAAAACCTAGTTTTTTTTTGGGGGGTAGTATATCAAATATAGGTATTATATATTATAACAGGGGTGGCCATTAACCTTAATTTTGGGAGCTGCAAATTTATGAAGCTATTTCGAAGTGAGCCACATTGTTAAGATAGATAGGTATGTTTATAAAATGAAAACATATTTTTAATTTTGTAACAAATATAGGAACATTCATTTTTTACACTACACAGAGCATTATTGTTCGGGTAGGTACACATGAAGAAATGGGATTTTACTTTTGAGAAATGTATTTTATATTACAGTAGTCACTCGATAATTCGAAAAACTCCATAAATTAAACTAAACACAAAGTCCCCTGAGAAAACATCTGTAATTAAAAGAAAATACATGTATTTCAGTCCCCTCGTTAATTTGAAATGTCTGTCAGTGAGACACGCTCTATATTTAGAATTTTTATTCCACAAACTTCAATAATTCAAATCAAAATCTTACTATCAGTAAGTTAAACAACGCTATAGACCAGATTGTGGCCAGCAATTTATCACAAAAAAAACAACAGATTTCTTTATTATTCAAAATATAATAATATTATAAATAAATGTAATATTTATATACATACAATTATTCMCCTCTTTTTAATTTGAATTRATTTTTTTCCGTTGATTATTCGATCACTCAATAAATCGAAAACCTCTATAAATTAAATTTTTAACTCAGTCCCTTGAATTTCGAATTATCAAGTGACTACTGTATATCAATTAATTTTACTTTAAGCTTGGTGTCAAGAGCCACACGACACTTACATGGTAGCTGCATGTGACTCGCAAGCCTTGTTATGGTCACCCCTGTATTATAATATATCTATTTGTTCAGGCAGCCCATATATTGAGTAGGCCTAGTGTGCTATAACATACTAGCATACCTGGCTAGTTGACCCCTGAATAACATATTTAGGTACCATACATGTCTGCGAT